TGAATAGTCAATAAAGAAAAGATGGTCACCATCAAACATTTTTGTTGTTCATTTTTAAATGCTGTTGAGTTCGATTCAACCTATGTACAACCCAAAGCAACACTGGCCAGGCCTGAGCCAGCCTCGTCCTTGTTGCTTGATTGGAGTCCCTGTGACAGCACATGCCAGTCCAGCTTACTCAGAGCCGTCCCTGCACTCACTGAGCCCCTATACCATCAAGCATGACGTTCTCCAGGAATTAATCCCTCTTCTCAGCATGCCCAAAGTATGCGAGAAGAAGTCTCACTATGCCCACTTCTAAGGAGATTTCTGGCTGCATATCTCTCCATTTAGATCTGTTTGTTCTGGCAGTCCATGGTATATTCAATATTTTTCACCAGCACCTTAATTCAAAGGCATGAATTCTTCCTTGGCCTTCCTTATTGTAATTATATTGTATTGTTATTAACCAATTTTCGTATGTGTTTGAGGCAACTGAAAAATACTACAGCTTGAGCAGAAGCACCTTAGATCTCAAAAGGTATTGCTCTTGAGAAGGCCTTTGAAGCTGTAAGAGGCTGTGCTGTCAACCCAAAGGCATGTAGTTCAAATCCACCAACTGCTTCGTGGGAGAAAGATGAGTAATCTCCTCCCATGTGATTTATTACCTCTGGAAACCCACTAGAGAGCCAGCTATGAGCTAATTCTGACTCAACAGTGCCTAATAACAACAAAACTGTTCTTGTGGAAATAGCTCTACTATAAAGAAACATCACGTAAAGTCGATCTCCGACTTAAAAACTCACTGTCTGCCAAAGCTCTCATTCCCCTTTCCTAAATCTCTACCCATATTAACTGTTGCCTTTAGTCTGCAACAAAGGAAATCACTAAAAAAAGGACTAAATAAAGCATCAGATGAACAAAGTTTTTAAAAAACCAAGAAAACAAGATAATGAAACAAACATGGCATTTGATTTCTTGACTGCTGCTTCAGCATGGGTGTTGACTGTGGACCCAAGTAAAATGACATTCTTGACAATGTCAATTTCTTCATCTTTGTAATTAGAGGTTTATGGGTAAATTTTAATGTTGTTGTTGTCTTTATGTACCACAGAGTCAGAACCGACCCATAGCTGACCCTCTGGCAGGTTTTCAGAGGCAGTTAATCACACGGGAGGAGATTGCCCATCCTTCTCCAGAGCAGCTGGTGGATTCGAACCATGTGCCTTCTGGATTACAGTGCAGCTTCTTGCCACTAGGCCACCAGAGCTTCTTTATTTATACTTATTAATGTGCCTTTCTTGTGTATGTGTGGACATTATCCTATAGCTGATAACACTGTATTTCACAATATATTGTAAAACATTCTTTTTTGACAAAGAATACGACATCATTCTCCTTCACTGTATCTTTTCAAGCATAGTAGACCACACAACTATGGCACTAAAAATGGCCAGTATCAGTTCATTTCAGGCCCCTAACTGATATTTATGCACTTGATTTCAGTTTTGACAACTTTCAGTTTTTCTAGTCATACCTCATGCATTCTCTGCTATGATTATTAACGGATGTCTGCAGCTGCTTCTCCTCATTTTGAGGCATGCCAAATCACCAAAGGAAAGTCCATCAGCAAACCAAGGTCCTGACAGCTTTACTCCACATCATTAGGGTAGACTCTCCTTTGATGCCGCAGCTCTTAGCCAGTCACATTTCGAGTGCCTTCCGACCTGAGTGGCTCGTTTTCTGACACTATGTCAGGCAGTTTTTGGCAGCTATTCGCAAGATTTCCGCTGACCAATTATTGTAGAAGTTGTCCTCCAACCCTGCTACCTTGTCTCGGTTTGGAAGCTCTGCCAAACCTGTCCACCAAAGGTGACTCTGCAGATCTTTAAAGTACCACGACATAACCCCCAGCATCACTGCAACACACAAGCCAACACACTGACAGATGAATAGTTGCACTAAACATTAGGGAAATGTAAATTAATACCATAATGCAATACTACATACTTAATGTTGCTGCCATCGAGTTAGAACCAATGCATAACTGACCTTCCAGTGAGATGTCAAGGGCTGTAAATTGACGAGACTGTTCGTCTTTCTCCTGTCGGGCAGCTGGGGGATTTGAACCACTTCCCACCCATCGGGTTGGCAGCACAACTCCTCACACTGAGCCGCCAGAGTGCCCGACATACTTGTTGCTGTTGTGTGCTGCCGAGTTGGAACTCACTCATAGCTGATCCCACCGCAGGTTTTCAAAGGCAATTTAACTGCACAGGAGGAGATTGCCCACCCCTTTTCTGTGGAGTAGCTTGTGGAAACAAACCATGTACCTTTGGAATTGCAACACAGCTTCTTACCACTAGGTTACCAGAGCTCTCGACATACTTACTAGGATTATGAAAAACATAAAGAGTAGCGTATCCAAGAGTTCCATTGATTATGCAAAGGCATTTAACTGTGTGGATCATACAAACTGTGGCTGACTCTGAGAAGAATGGGACTCCCAGAACATTTGATCGTGCTAATGTGAAACCTATACTTGGACCAAGAGGCAGTCGTCAGAACAGAGCAGGGCAACACTGCATGGTTCAAAATTGGGAAGGGTATATGTCAGGGATGTGTCCTATCTCCATACCTTTTCAACCTGTATGCAGAGCAGATTATCCCAGAGGCTGGGCTCTATGAGGAGAAGCGTGGCGTTAGGATTGGTGGAAGATCTATCAACAATCTGCATTATGCAGATGACACAACCTTGCTCGCTGAAACTGAGGAGGACCTCATGCACTTACTGCAGAGGGTCAAGGACTGCAGCCTTCAATATGGACTGAGGCTCAATGTCAAGAAGACAAAAATTCTCACCACTGGACCAATCTGTAGCATCAGGATGGATGGCGAAGAGATTGAGATTGTTCACAGCTTCAGTTTGCTTGGCTCCACGGACAACACTCTTGGCACCAGTAGCCAGGAAATCAAAAAACGTATTGCGATGGGAAAGTCTGCAGTTAGGGACCTCTCTAAAATACTCAAGAGCAACAGTGTCTCTCTGGAGTCTAAGGTGCGCCTGATACAGGCCATGGTTTTTGCAATCACTTGTTATGCATCAGAGAGTTGGACAATGACTAGGGAGGATAGAAGGAGAATTAACACCTTTGAGCTGTGGTGCTGGAGAAGAGTATTGAATGTACCATGGAGTGCCAAGAAAACAAACAGATTCATCGTAGAGAGGATTAAACCAGGCTGTTCCTTGGAGGCAAGTGTTCCGGGGCTTCATCTGACATACTCTGGACATGTTATAAGGAGAGACAGGTCTTTGGAGAGGGACATCATGCTTGGTAGAGTAGAGGGACAGCGCAGGAGGGGAAGACCCTCTATGAGGTGGACTGATTCAGTGACTGGGGTACTCGGGATGGGTGTGTCAGAGGCAAAGAGATTGGCACAGGATAGAGCAGGGTTTAGGGCTGTTGTACATAGGGTCGCTATGAGTCGCAAACGACTCGACGGCACATAACAACAACAACAACATATGCATCACCACGTAACCCAATAATCCTAGGTGTTTACTTAAAAAATATGTCTCCAAATACTTACTCTTAAATGTTCATGACAATATTATTTACAAAATCCTAAAACTGAAAACAACCCAAAGTCCATCAGTGGATGAGTGTGGTCAAGTCACACCCTGGGATATTAGTCAGCAATGAAAAGAAATTAATTACTGATGCACCAACACAGGCCACCGAATGAATGGGTCTCAAGAACTTAATAGTCAAATAGGAATCCATATACACGAATCCAAATCTATGAGTCCTTTTGCATAAAACTGTAGGAAGGACAAATAAAATTTTTAGTATCAGAAAGCAGATTGGGTATTGACTGATGTCAGGTGTTGGGGCCGGGGGCAGGGAGAATAACTGGGAAGGGGCACAAGTTTCTCAGGTGATGTCAATGTTCTGAATTTTGATTTAGGTGATAGTTGCCAAGATGCATAGAATTTTAAAAACCCGTAGAAATATGCCCTTATGTTTCCTCAAAAAGCTGAGCATAGAAATTCCATATGACCCAGCTATTACACAGCTTAGAATATACCCCAAGAAAATGAGCACTGAGGCACAAATGGAGACTTGTCCACCAATGTTCATAGCAGTGTTATCCACCATAGCAGGAACTTGGAAACAGCCCAAATGTCCAACCAAATGTACAACCACAATGGAATGGATTAAGAAATCCATGAATAGTATTCACATGATGGAACACTATGCAGCACGCAGGAGCAGTGGTTTGAAAATCACTACCTAACTTGGGAAGGACTAAAGAACATTATGCTAAGTGAACTAACTCTGTCTCATAAGGACAAATAGCGTATAAGACCGTTACTGTAGAAATAGATAACTAGTAAAACACGTCGGGGGGGGGGGGAGGTAGGAGCAGAGGGGTGAGGATGGACAGGGGGTAATCATAGGGTTGCACAATATGATGGGTAGAAGGAGGAATGGGTAAAGGAAATAAATGGGAAAGATCTGGTGTGAAAAACAATGTATATATGAACTTTGTAAGCAAACCAGTATAAAATAAAAATTTTTAAAAAGGAAGTATTCCCTTAAAAACAACTGCCATCGACTCTAATTCTGACTTTCAATAATCCTGTAACAACAGAGTAGGACTGCTTCATAGATCTTTCATTCAAAAGCCCAAGAAGAAACAAGGTTAAATAAACTGCCCCTGATGGCTGAGCCAGGAGCCGAGATTCACAGTCTAAATGGGGGAAAACACACACTGGACCCAGGAAGGCAGTAGTGAGACACTATTGAGCCTCCACCTTGTCCCTGGGAATGGAGAGAAGAGAGGGGTCCCCATGGGCAGAATCTCCCCATTTTAGAAGATTTTAGTTTCTGTAGGAGTAGAGGGGTTTTAGATTCAAATGCTTACTATATATTCAATCACAGGGGTGAACTCAAGAGGTGGTTTCTAAGAAACCTTCCCTCTTTTCCTCTCGACCATGAATGACAGCAGGGCCTTACCAGAGAGTTGCTTGATGGCCACAGGTCTCACTTTGTAGGGAGTGCTGCAAAAGAGAAGACAGTTCCACTGTAAGAGGCGGTCAAGGATGCTTGCAGCATGTCTGCTGGCAGAGATAAGCACTCAGGCATTTACAATTCAATGGATTAAGGATTTTTTCCTCCCTCAAAATTGGTTTCTCTAGATAGTCTGAGTTTGCATTTGAAGACAGAAATACATTAAATATGTAATTTAAATGATGTGTTTCCTCTGTGAGGTGCAGTGAATTACTTTATCCTCCCAGTCATCTAGCCATAGATAATCTCTGTGACTCCCACACAATGACTGGTAGGACTAGGCAAATATGGTACTTGTAACCACACTAAAGACATTGGAAGGATTGCTGCTCATGCAATAAGGTGCAAAAAAATCCTTGTAAGAATGCACTCATGCAAATAAGGTGTGTAGAACCCTAATGAGAGGATTGGTCAGTTTTGCCATCCTGCTCGATTTAAATTCTGGCATTCACACACTTACACACACACAGAGAAGCGATAGTGCAAGATAGATCTGTCGGCACAGCTTCCTTGCACTGGTCCTACAGATGGAAGAAACATTAGGGTGATTCATAGGGAAAATGCAATGGGAGGCAACTTACTTCAGCAGAACAGAGATTTAAAAAAATGATTATTCATAGGGTCACAAAATTTGATGGGTGAAGGGGGGCTGGTCAAGGAAATGGGAAAGATCCAGTGTGAAAAAGAATGTATACAAACTTTATAAATAAAGCATTTTAAAAAGACATTATTAAGAAATGGGGTAAGTATAATGGACACTGATGGGCATGAGACAATGAATTTAAGGCAGCGCTACAAGAGATTAAAGGTGCCAAAACCAAACATGTCCATTTCAGTCACTACAGCAAGGAGGAATTTAATGATGGAAAGCGTATCATTAAACAAGTGAGTTTACCTAGTTAATCAAGATAAAGACTGAAGAACCCAGTATTTTCTGGTTCAACTACGAGTAGGGGACCCAACATTACATGCACATCTGTGAGTGAAACGGTCCCAGGGTGAGGAGAGACCCTTCTAGGGTTCCTGGACACATAAACTCAATGTATTGTAGTTTAAAAGCCACCAACTCAAAGGCACACACTTCAAATCAACCAACTCCACAGAAGAAAGATGTTCACTCTCCTCTTATGAGATTTACTGCCTTTGAAAACGTACTGGTGGGTCAGCTATGAGTCTGTTCTGACTGGATGGTACATAACAACAACAACAACAACAACAACAAAGCTAGATTAGGGGGACATGCAGATGAAGGCACTAAGGTGAGAGCCTGGATCAGAATTGAAAGATTAAAGAAGATTTTGTATAAGTATTGCATCTCATTTACCTAGATATATAATTGGTATATGAATATTATGCCTAATTAGGGAACATTCATTCCTCCTGATACTGTAAATCTAAATGTATATGACTCTAGGAACCATTAGGTCACTCAAACCCACTCAGGTTGTTAACTGAAAACCAAGATGATACCTGGTGGACAAAATAAGATTATTGCTTTGATTGAATCCATAGTAAAGGCTGGAGCCCCCACTGGCCTGCCAGTTTGCTGTATTGTGGTGGGCCGTGTGTTGCTATGATGCTGGAAGCTATGTACGTGGTATTTAAAATAACAGCAGGATCACCCAGGTGGACAAGTTTCAATGGAGCTCCCAGACTAAGGCAGTCTGTAAAGAAGGATTAGTAATCTACTGAAAAAAAAAATCAAGATGCAATGATAATTACTGCTGATTTGAATGTGAAAACTGGGAAGAAAAAGCAGCAGAAGTTGGAAAATAGGATCTTGGGAACAGAAACAGAAGATAGAACTTTATACTATTAACCACTTTATTATAGCAAATACTTTTTGTGTGAAAAAGAAAAATGAAATTAGAAGTGATATAAGACACAAATAGGCTTTCACAAATATGACTGCTGAGGGTATCAATTGTTATCACCTTGAGGATGTAATCTAACAATAACTATTAATATTTAAAACAGGAATTTGTCTCAGCAAATAAATGTTGGAACAAATGCATCAAAATGAAATACTAGTAGCTAAGGGCACAAGAGTTCAGATGGTACAGCCATTAGGGGCTTGGCTGCTAACCTAGATATTGTTAGTTCAAAGCCAGCCAGCAGCTCTGTGGGAGAAAGACCTGGCAATTGCCTCCCATAGAGACTCTCAAACCCAATGAGATGTTTCCAGGCCTTAGTGACCCCACAAGACAGAGACCTGCCCAGGACAGAGCTATAGATCTTGATGGAAGCAAAGCACTTTGTCTGTCTTCCACGGAGTGGCTGATGGATCCAAATCCTCGCTTTTCTGTGTAGTTGTAGAACGCTTTAGCCACAGCATTGTCATCAGAGCTCCTCCCACAATGATCACAGCCTTTCTCTATTCTTGCTATGTGTCAGAATCAACCCAATAGCATCTAACAGTACAAAACCAAAACAAACAAGGACACAGTTAGATGCTATTTAGTCATACCATTAATTCAATAATTATATATGGAGTGCCTACTACAGTTAGGTGCTGGTGAAATAGCAGTGACTAAAGAAAAAACTCAGGTGACTTGACAGCACATAACAAAAATAACAAATAAAAAATACCCCTGCTCTCAAGAAATCATCATTTTTTATTCAATATGCTTTGAAAAAGGAGCGGTGGTGGCTTAGTGGCAAGGAGCTGTGCTGCCATCCCGAAGGTACTTGGTTTGAATCCACTGGCTGCTCTGTGAGAAAAAGATGGACAATCTCCTCCTGTGTGATTTACTGACTCTGAAATCCCAACAGAGAGTCAGCTATGAGTTGGTTCCAACTGAGTGGTACACAGCAAACAACAACAACATTGCTTGGAAGGTGGTGGTGGTGGGGTGTCGGCTGGCCTAGTCCCACAGGGATTTGCACTGTGAACATCAAAGGCTGCTGTGCTCTGGTGGTTTTAACCCACCAGTTGTTTCAGAGGAGAAAGATGAGCAGTCTCCTCCTATGTGATTTACAGCTTCCAAAAAAATCAACCAAGGGGGATGTGCTATTCAATTGCAATGAGATTAATTATGCTTTGAAAGCCTGTGTGCAACCACACTGAATGCCTCAGCACTAGAAAAACCGAGCTTTCATCAGCAACTGTGTTTGACACAGGTGTCTACCATGGCTACAAAACAGGAAGATAAGCACACAAATATTGACCTGTGACATCAAGCCCTCAAGCTGCACAATAAGATATTAGCATAATACAATAATACAAGCTGCACAGTAATACATTAATCCATTTTGGGGGAAAAGAAAGTACAGGAATTTCTCTCATGAAAGACATAATTCCCTTCACTTTCTCATCATCCCTCCAACAACCCAGCGTACACACTAGTGATGAGAGGGGTAGTGAGTGGAACGGGGAGAGCTCAGCTGTCCTGAGCACCCATCAACTGTTGGAGAATTAGCTTAGACTTAAAGTGACTGATGTGTGTCAGAATAGAACTGTGCTCCATAGAGTTTTCAACAGTAGATTTTATTTGGAAGCAGATGGCCGACTCTTTCACCCATGGCATCCGTAAGGCCACTGAGACCTCTATCTTTTCATTTAACAGCTGAGTGTGTTAAAGCATTTATATCAACAAGGGAATCCAAACTCTTAGCAGTGACTAACCAAGGGTAACATCCAGGACTTAATGGCTATAGATAATCCATAAAGCATAAAATGCAAAGGAAATAAAGTGTGCTAGCACTGTGGATGGAGGGCTGACCATCCACGGTTTATAGAACTCCTGGCTGGCCCCACAAGGGACTCCCCGTGCTCACAGAGCATCAAGAATTTAGTCCACACCTTCCCTCTCCCCATATGAGTCCTCTGCTCCTGTCCAGAAAAAGACCTGTTTGAACAAGTCTCTTGAATATTGGTTATTTGGAGCTGGGACTTATTTATTCACAAATACTATCAGAAATAATGATAATGGAGGTGGTGTGTCAGAGATGGCTAGGCTGGCTCAGGATAGGGCAGGGTTCAGAGCTACTGTGCATAGAGTCGCTATGAGTTGCAGTTAACTTGACAACAACATATAACGACATCAGAAATGGTGCTTGGTCCCGGCTGGATTTGAAAAGATCTTATTCAGAACCACTTAGGTTTGAAGGATGGCACCGAGTGCAGAGCAGGATTTTTCCCAGGAGCCCCTGGGGGACTGGCTGGGGTGATGGAGGAGCCTGAGGAGGGGAGGCTCTCATCATTGGCAGCCTCCTCTAGCTGCCTGTTATTGTTGCTGTTGTGCATTGTCAAGCTGGAACCAACCCATAGCTGGCCCTCCACTAGGTTTGCAGAGGCAGTAAATCACACAGGAGGAGACTATCTTTCTCCCGCAGAGCAACTGGTGGACTCTAACCATATGTATTCAGGTTGGCAGCCACAGCTTCTTACCACAAGGCCACGAGAGCACCCTTCAAGGTTCATTTGTTGTTTGTTATGTGGCAGTGCTAAAAGAGTCACTGCAGCCTCCTACTCACAGCAACTCTCTGCCTCAGGGGTTTGCACCTATTAACAGTTTAAAAGTGAGAGAGGTCAGATTGAAACAGTGCTTTGTATCTTGTGTACACTCCCAGTGGAAAGGAGTTAGACAGATGTTGGTCTACAGACTTGAAGGGGTGGTGGAGAAAAATGGTAAGATAGTGGTTACCTCTTTGTTTTCTATTTCCTCTTTCCTTCAACCCAAGCACACACACTAGTGATGAGGAAGGGTAGTGAGTGGAATGAAGAGAGGACAGCCTTCCTGAGGGTGGATAGGAGGAAAGCGGCTGCCCTTCCTCCACTGCGCCCTCTGCTTGTCCTCTCCCTTTCTTCTCCATGGAGCACAGAGAACTAGAAGAACCTTCTTTCTTCTTCTCTCCTCCTTCCTTTTGCTTCTTGGTACCTAAGTGGATACTAGCAGATGGTGATGACAAGGAGCAGAGAAGGGGTAGAGGAGGTGGGAGGTGGGTAGGATGGAGAATAATGCCACCTCCACATGGTGGGGGGTGTGGA